TCGGTGGGACCCCCCGTGGGCCCCAGGCCAGCACAGCCCTGCCCTGCTGGTCTCAGCAGCCCAGGGGACACTCTGGGGTGTCGGGGACAGTCCCCCAGGCCGGGACAAAGGGAAACTCCTCCCGTGCCCAGTGGGAGCGTGGGACAGACCCTCCTGGAGCTCTGGTGAGGCTCTACCAGGGAACACGTAGCTGTCCATGGTGGAGGGGCCGTTCCACGGTCCCACACAGCAGCGTCCTTGTCCCCAGGCTGGAGAGAGGGGGGCAGGGGGTGGCTCGGCTGGACGGCCCCGCCCAGGGCGCTGTCGGGGCTGGGTGTGCAGAGCTCAGGGCACCCCGCTGGGCCCAGCTCCGGGTCTTTGTTAACAACGTCAGTCACCGAGCCCCTCCCTCAGCAGCTCCACAAGGAGCTCTGAGCCCTGGGGGGCCGGTGGGGCTGCACCCCCAGGGCCTTGGGGGGAAAATGGGGGGTATGGCAATGGCCTGAGGTTCAATGGTGTCTGGAGGGACCCCAGTGCCCACCAGGCCTGGGGGTGCGGGACGGGGCTGAAGGTCCGTCCATTCACAGGGACCTGACTGAGAACCCCCTGACGTCCCTCCCCAACGGCTCCTTCCTGGGCTTCACCCACCTGCAGCTCCTGTGAGTGCCGGGGGGTCGGGGCTGGGGGGTCCCCGTGGGCTGGTGCTGAGCTCTGTCCTCAGCGCGGTGCCGCCGGCGCTGGAGTGTCCGGGCGGGAGTGACGCCTGGCAGGATGTGACAGTGGACGGGAGCATCCGGCGATGCCGGGGCCAGAAAAACCCCTGCAACGGCTCCGCGGAGCTCGGTACGGCGGGGGGACGGTGACCCCGGCGGTGGGCGCCTGGGGCTGGCAGTGGGGTCTGGGCTGGGCCCCGTGACCCCCCCGCTCTGCTCTGCCAGCCTGGCCGTGTCCCGAAAACTCCGCCTGTGCCCCCGATGGCCCCGGCCTCGTCCAGTGCCTCTGTGACAGCCCCTTCCACAGCTACAAGTGCCTGCGCGAGGTGAGCGCCGGTGGGACGGGACCCCTCTCCGGCTGCCCCCCGGATGGATCAGGGGGGGCTTTGGGGGGCTGCGGGGGGTGGCACCGCTCACCGCTGCTCCTGGGCAGGGCACGTTCCCGGGGCTGCTCTTCGGTGGGATCCTGGGCACTGCCACCGTATCCCTGTCCCTGCTGCTGTGGGGCACCCAGCGGAGGAAGGCCAAGACCCCCTGAGTGGGGCAGGGGGGCTGCGGATGGGCAGGGGAACCCCTGGCCTGGGGGTCTCTGTGCCCAGGCCCGGCTGTCCCTTTTGTGGCTGCCAGGGATCAATAAAGCCACAGGTTTTCACCATGTGTCCGTCCAGTTCCTTAACGGGGAGGGGAGAAGGGGCTGGGTGGAACCATCATCGATAGGGGAGAGGACAGGGAGATGCAAATCACTCCTCACCCCCTCCCCGCGCAGGCTGCGCATGGGGGGAGCGACAGGCAGTGAGCCCGGGGTGCTCCGGGTCAGAAATAACTGGGATTGAGCAGAAGGACCCTCTCTGGGTCAGAATTAACTGGGATTCCCTGCCGAGGAACTGCCTGCTGGGTCCCATCAAAGCGGCATCGCATCATCGCGGGATGCTCCAGGGCGGGGCGGAAAAGCGCTGGACAGGACGCACATCGGGGTGCCGAGAGAAAATAACAAATACAGAATAATTAGAGCGCAGTTTGTTTTATCGTACTATTTTTGGACAACAGAATCAGGGGAGAGCGCGAACGCAGTCCCCCACTACCACAAATTATGCAGTCGAGTTTCCCGCATTTGGGGAAATCGCAGGGGTCAGCACACCCGGAGTGCAAGGGATGAGCCTCGCCCTGGGAAAACCACCTGCCTGATCATGGTGTCTCCCCTGCCAGGTAAGTATGACTCCACCTCCCCGGCCCCGCCGCGCCCGCCCCGACCACCC